AAGCAAGATGCTTTGGGACTGGGCTCTGGTCATATGGTATTGATTGTACCATCATTCCAGCTCCAATCATGGCTGCAAAGGTTGCACCAATTGTCTGAAAGACACATATTACTGAGAAAAAATCCTTATGCAACAACAAAGTAGAAGCCCACAAGTTCCAAGTTCAGCTAGTCCCTCCAAAAAACCTTGTTTAAAAAGATTAAGGAAAATGAACTGATCCTATAGGGGGCAAGAGTGCCCCCTACTGTCACAAAGTTTTGCAGACACCTTCAAGTGAGTCAAGTTGAGCTTTGACTGATACCACCATCTTTTTAAAGTTTATTCTTGCTAGACAGAGAATAAACCTCTTTAAGAATCCCAAAATAGGGACGCCTGGGTGGATCAGTTGGTTAAGCGTCTGACTCTTAGTTTCGGCTAAGTTCATGATCTCAGGTTCATGAGATTGAGTCCCACGTCCGGCTCTGAGCTCAGCATGGTGTGTGCTTGGGCTTCTCTCTCCCACTCTGCCCCCCGACCCCGGCACCCCACCCCCCGCCCATGCTCCATCACTCTCACGCTCTCTCTTTCAAATAAATCTATCAATCTTGAGGTGCCTGTGTGGCTCAGTTGGTTAAGCATCAGGTCATGATTTCAGGTCCTGGGATTGAGTCCCACCTCTGGCTCCCCGCTCAGTAGGGAGTCTGCTTGTCCCTCTGCGCCCCCCCACAACTCGTTCTCTCTCCCTCAAATAAAATCTTTAAATAAATCTTAAAAAAATAAGAATTCCAAAATAATTTTTATTTTGTATAGCACAGACAGCATTTTAAAAAATTAATCATGATATACCAATTAGAATATATATGTATTACATTGCCTTTAACTCCAACATTTGCTAAATAAAAACCTAAAAAACAGAAGCACATGGAAAAGAGAGTAAGATTCTACTTCTCTATCCTCTTAGTTTTCTGGCTGACTTGGTCCTCCATCCCTTTTTTTTGCCTTAGATTGCCACATTAGTTAATTATTCCTTGTGTGTATAAGAAAGAAATGCACATAATAGAAAAAGATGATAATGAATCTTTAGGAAACTTGAGTAGAAAGTGCAAAGTTGCAGCTCTTGTACAAAACAGCATATATTTTGTTGCCCAACTACTCAAAAGATCAATTGAATGTGAATGCTTTTTTAACGCCTTTGCTTAGTCACTAATGTGTGTGTGTGACATACCAGGCCTGCCTAACTCCTCTGCATTATCTGTCTGACCCACAACATGTGAATGTTCAACCTCTGACGTAAAGCACAGATAGAGACAGAACAGCTGAGAATGGGAAAGCCTTTGCTCCTATTAATATAAATAAGCACACTGAGTTCTACTCTATCATTTTCTAATGGAAAAATAGCTACTAAAAACCACTTCATACATTCCTTCATACTTCATACAAATGCAAGGCATTTTCAGGGTATTTATCACAATTGTGTCTTTTTCTTTTAAGGTCCTTCATGTTCATGACCCAGCTGTATTTTTTGCCTTTTACCTTTCCATACTCTACACACTCCAGCTACACTGAAATGGTGGGGATGCAAACACATCCCCATCTCATGCCTCTTTACTTCTGGTTCATTTTGCCTAAGAATACCTCTTTTCTATCTGGTTGACTTATTCAAGGATTACCTCCTCACCTGGGAAGTTTTTCTGGGAAGGACACTGACTGCCACGAGCAGTGTCAGAAGCCTCTTCTCTGTTCCAAAATCACTTAGTACCAACTTTGACATTATTTGTATGTCTGTCACCCCCCAAAAGCTTCATCTTCATCTCTGTAGCACTTGCCTGGCTTTCCAAACTATTTCAGTAGCCCTAACAGCAGGTGAGAGTGATCTTATGCCCACAGGAAGTTGAGAATATGGCCCAAGCACAAAACTTCTTTGGCGTCTTATTTTAGGGGCTAAACTCTTTTGTATATTTTTCCTCTTGTAGCCATGGTGTTTTGTTAAAAGGCCTTGTTTTATATTCTCTACCTGATAAAAACTTACATTCTTGGTGAGAATGCACCATGCTTATTCTGCGCCCTCATGGACTTTTAGGTTAGGAGATCTGTAACACACATCTGAAGTATATTGAAGTGTCCAAATGGCCATGCTATTCTAAATGGTTCTCCTTTGGAAAGTACAGTGGAAATATTATGGTTTTGGAAGTTGGATGGAAGTTGGTTAGATCTGGTTACAGACGGGAAATCTGTAGGAAATCTGTAGAAATCTCTCTCATACCCCTTCCCTTCCAGTCTCAAACTCATAGTTCATGTTCTTACAATCCTTCGTTTCAGATTTTGCAAAGCCAAGGCTGGTATACTTGCATCTTGTCTCTTCCATTTGAGTTCTTAGAACTGAGCAGGGAGCCCGATGTGGGACTCGATCCCATGACCCTGGGATCATGACCTGAGTCAAAGGCAGACGCTTAACCACTGAGCCACCCAGGCGCCCCTCAATCTCCACTCTCAACACTATTGCAAAGCCAGTTTTATCTCAAAGTCTTTTTTCTTTTTGAAGATTTTATTTGAGAGTAAGCAAGTGAGAGAGAGACGGCACGAGCAGAGGGAGAGCGAGAGGCAGACTCCCCACTGAGCAGCTCTTAGAACTCAAAATACAAAAAATATTTTTGCTGTTTCAGTATCTGCAATGGCCTCTGCCTACTTAGGCACTCTCCTCAGTGTAGCAATCAAACATTCTTTTTCTAATTGTGTCTTCTTTACACTCTAGACCTCAAATCCTCGAACTCCACTCTTTTTTTCTTTTTTTAAAGATTTTTATTTATTTATTTGAGAGAGAGATAGCGACAGAAACAGCAAGAGAGAGTACCAGCAGGGAGGAGAGGGAGAAGCAGGCTCCCCACTGAGCAGGGGAGCCTGATGTGGGACTCGATCCCAGGACCCCGGGATAATGACCTGAGCTGAAGGCAGACACTTAACCACTGAGCCACCCAGGCGCCCCTCGATCTCCTCTCTCGACACTATTGCAAAGCCAGTTTTATCTCAAAGTCTTTTTTTAAAGATTTTATTTATTTGAGAGTGAGCAAGTGAGAGGAAGACAGCATGAGCAGAGGGAGCGCAAGAGGCAGACTCCCCACTGAAGCAGGGAGCCCAAGGCTGGGCTCAACCCCAGGACCCTGGGATCATAGGTGAAGCCAGTTTTAATGACTACCTCTTCTCCTCTGCTCAAGCTGTTCTGCAAACCTAGACTACCTTATTCCTCTCCTACAATAAAAAAATGCTAGCCTCCAACATTTCTGATGAAATAAATGTCTCTTGCATGGACCTTCACTACTAGTCCAAGACAAAAACAGTCTTTGAACTTTCTACTTCTTATTGTACACATCCTTTTACCACTTACTCAAGCTCATTTCTTCAACCAGACAGCAGAAAATAGCTACTACTTTTAAAATCATTTTTTTTTTTTTTTGTATCTAGCAAAATAACAAATGCTCAAGAAACACAGAATATAAAACCTTACACAGGGTTAAGAAAGTTCAAAGTGTTGGCAACAAATATTTTCCACTGACTTCTAAGACTGTTTTGCATTTGCCATCTCCCCCCCCTTTATTAACTAAATTGCTATAAAACACAGGCTATTGGATCTCTGCTGTTAAGTAGGATATTCCTTTAAGTTTGGTTTTCAACCCTTTTGCCACTATTTAAATACATACTCAACAAGGAATAATTCCCGATCTACCTCAGAATGTAATTCCTACTTTGTCTCAGTTGCACTATTACTTCATAGATTTGAACAACTTGTTCAATATAGTAAGGGATTCATTCCATTTAATACCCGTCTCCCAATATTTTTTGTCTAATCTTTTGATATTTAGTGAAAAAGGAAAACAAAAAAAAGTGACTTACCACCCAAGAGCCTCTCATCATGAAGTTCATGAGAACAGGAGTTCTGCTCACTGCCAGGGCGGACAGTGCTGTTAAGCCAATACTCCCTGCTAAGTACATATAGGTAGAATGAATTCTATCCTTCACATACTGAGGCCAAATTCTGTAAGAAACATAACATGGTTAATTTATGGAAATATGGATATAAATTTTGGTTAAATCAGTCATAGCTGGGAAACTTTGGGAAATACCAATTTATTGCTCTAATCTTATCTCATTTATTATGGAAATAATGATGCATACATTGGAGTTATCATAAAAATTAAATGATATAAAACATAAGCACTTGGCACATATACAAAGCAACACATTTTCTCCTTGCTTAAACACATATAACCTTAGTAAAAGATTTTTGTTTGAATAGATGCGAAGAGATTTTATTTTTATTCAAGTATATGTCTACAGTTAGAAGATTAGATATAAAACATTCCAAAAGTGGCAGAAGAGAAGGATGAAAACAAAATTGGAACCTTGAAGACTGGGAAATGTTTGGGAATGATTTACTTACACAGCCTTTTCAATAGCTCCAATCTCATTAGACATTCCCAAGCCATAGTAGCACAATGCTCCAAGGCCAACAGCAGCCCCTCCAGCAATAAACCATCTTCCCATCTGATCAACTGGAGAACACAGGAGGAAATGCACATTAATACGGTCATGTCTTGACTAAATTAAAATACTGACGGTAAGCCCTTTCTAATATTTGTATGAGGAAAATCAAACTATATACCATAGTCCTTTGTAACAACCATAATTAGAACATATGGGGATATAAGCGGCTTCAACATTAGGGGACCAGTAAAAAACGAGACACTGCTAAAACATAGGTGTAATAATACAAAAAGGATCAGACTTGATTAGCCTCTAATTTCACTCCAAAGAAATTTAAGGAGGCAGTGTATCTGTAGATGTGGGGATACTTCTGTAATACATATTATTTTATTCATAAGAATCTGGGTAATGTTCTCATGATGCTCTTAGAAAGAAAAAGATGAAAAAGATGTTAATAGTTATACCACAGTGTATAAAATGCCATTAAACAAAGACGATGCTTGATGTAGACAAAGAAAAAAAGGAACCAAAAATGTAATCAGTGTTTATGCAGCAGAATCAAGGGAGAGGGTGCCCTAAACTAAGAGCAAAAGAAACAACTTACCAACTCTTAATTGGATGCATCTTACTCCTTTTAGTATGAATTTGTCACTATGACTATTACTATGCTATAGCTGTATGTTTCATGTAACTTATTTTTTTAGGGCAAAATTACTAATCAGAAAGAAATGCCCAGAGCGATACGGATTACAGCTCTTTCCCATTATAATATATTGACACTTTGTAAGGTCATTAACCAGCAACAGTATTCTATGAATAGATCTGGGTAGATTAACAATCTTGTCAAACTTGCAAAGCTGAAATCCAAATGAACTTCATTAAGGTACTGTTTCCAGGGAGCCCATATATGAACAACCAATTAAGAGGACTCTTCTTGAACAGCTAGGCTTTCATTAATATCTGTTTTAGTGATTTTTCTCTTGACCTAAAACATACATAAACATTTTATGCTTGAATGAAGATTCTATGCAACTTCAATTGAACTTCCTTAACAGATTATATCTTTAATACCATGGCATATTAACTACTAATCCTTTCTTTAAAAAAAAGGTAAAAGTAAAATTTTCTCTGGAAGAAATATGATTGGGAACCAATGAACCCAGTGTGAAGTATCAATCTTTTCTGGGTCATGAGATCCTGAAGAATGACTGCCTTTCTTCCCAGAAAATGCTCACATATATAAGTTTGCACATATTTTTAGAAGGCTGTTCATGGACTTCTTAAAACATATTCACATACTCCAGTTCAAAAACTGAAGACTGCTGCCTACTTTTAAATATTTTTTCCACTGATGGTTCCATTGCTGCCTCCTTAAGTTCTTGGCCAGTTTTCCCACGCCGGATCCCAACTCTTGTCTTGGTGGCATATTGCTGATATACACAAAAACAAAGACACACGATACACACAGCAAAACAGAATGTTATTAATAAAATATAATTAAATCTCATTACACTAGAAAACTGTATATAACTTGGTACTTTCTATGTATATAGTTTCACTATAAAAGTCTGTTAGCCAATCTAAAAAATTAAATGTAAACCCTACCTACCTGTGGTCTATCTTTGAAGTGATTCACTTAAATTCTTAGTTTACAACTTAACTTCTTAAAAGTGTCAGAATAATTATTTCATAAACTACAGATTTATATCTCTAGAATCATATTTTAAACACTAACTTTAAAAAAAAATGCATTCAGTAAGTATTAGCTACATTTTCTTTTCCATCTGGGAAACGGGCTCAAGAAAGTTACCTTTCCTTAACATAAAGTTAAAGGGAAGGATGATTACTACCTTTTTTTTTTTTAGCTCTTTTTCAAAAGCAGAACAGTTAATTCATGAGGAAAACAGCTGTCTCTTTTAGCTTATATATATTTCCTTATCTACCTCACATTTCAAAATTTATACTTCTGATTTGAATGCTAGAGAAATCTATTATAAAAAATAATGGGTGTCTCTCTAACCTGATGGATTTTGCCACTCTTTACTCTTTAATCAAGAGCTGAAATGACATTTTTAGTAACTTATTAATAAGCTACTGACCAAATGTTAATATTTCTGGGTTCTTAAGCTTTTGACTACAGGCTCCACAATCTCTTTGTTGTACCATATAATTCTCAATCTCACACAAATCACTCTAAGTTCTCTGAATGAAACTCCAAAAGCTGTAAGTAAAGAGAAAGTTATAGGAGCTCTGTCTTTCATATGTGATAATGAGGAACAGAATGACACACAACTAACGGGGAGAAAGAGCTGATCTGGGACATTATGAGGGATAAATGTTTTAGTAAATCACTAATGGTAGAACAGGGAGCTTCATACAGTCAAAAAAAAAAAAAAAAGGTTCCAGTGCACAAAGAGAGGGACACAATATAAGATATCAGATTATCTTTACCCGGCTGGGTGTTAAGAGCCATTGATTCTTCGTGATGGAATTCTTCACAATTGGGGAGGCCTTGGTGAAAGCTGGTTGGAAAACCCTGGAAGGGAGTGTCCGGAGACACATAAATCTTGCGGCCAGCATGGTGGTGCACCAGGTTTACCAAGCAGATCTGAAATGCCAGTTTGAGACACACAAAAAATAACCCATTAACCAAATGAGGGAATAACACAGAAAAGATCCAGAGACAGAGAAGGGCCCGTCAATCATATTTTCGTAGAAAAATGGGAGTGGGGACCTTTTTAAATGTTAATGATGAATTGTCGGCTTATTCCTTGTTAGTCCAAGAAATCGAACCCACAGAATCCAATATGGGATGATCACCAAAATAGAACTGAATCCCAGTTTGAACAATATGGTGTATGACTCCCTATAAATTATGCGTCTAATACAAAGTAGATGTTAGTATCTTAAGACAATTGCAGTGTGTGTGATAGCTTTTATAAATGTGGTTTTAAGCATTCAATGGGACAATTTAAAACAAGACTCTGTATAACTTTTGAGCAGAAGAAAAATGTCATCCAAGGAAGAGATGAGTACTCTTCAAGGTCATGCTGCACTGTAAGGTTTCACGACATCAACAGTAATCAAATATTTAAATTTCTGCTAAACATGCCAAATATTACTTCGCTTCAAAATGTGATAAAAATACTCAAGGTACTGAAACCACCTGGGATGCATCTCGGTCCTTCATGATTTAACCTCTAGGAACGGGACCCAGGAATGTTTTACCTAGCACCCCCAAAGCTAAGAATCCTTGCTAAGAAATACCTATCAAAGTGTACTTCCAGCTCTCCCACTGAATCTGTAATGGTTGTACAACGCTGAGAAAATACCGAGACCTTCATCTCAGCCATTACATCATCTCAGCCTGTTGCGGTTTATGTCCCCCGCTACTCAACACATCGGCTGGGAACGAGGCCCCGCTGAATGGCCTCCATGTCGCGCAATAGAACAAAGTGGAAATCTTGTTTCTGCCACATGCCAGAAGTGGCCTCGTGAGTGTCTGCCCTCTGAGACTCAGATGTGTTGGCTATAAAATGGATAAAGTATGACGAGCCCGTACGCTTCCGCAAACATTGATGCCCTCAAGCTCCTGGTCCCCCGAGAAAGTTCACCCAGCTCTCCAGACTCGGTTGAGAACTCGGCAGGAAGACTCCAGTGTCCCAAAGTCAACGCATAACCCTACCACCTCCCCGCTCCAGCACCCCCCTATCTGAGAGGGTGGCGGCTGTGCGGCCCAGCCGCTGGGTGATTCAGCACCTCCGCCCGAAGGAGAAGCGGACAACGGGGGCAAGCCCCCGCCCGCCTGCCCCAGGCCCCGCCGCCGCCGCCCCCTTTCACCCGGTCACCGCAGGACGATGACCCTAACGCGCCGCCAAGCTGTGGCACCGCCAGCCTGTGACGCAGCAAGCTGCGCCCGGCCTTCAGCCCTCCTCGGATGTACCCAGCGGCCCTGCGAAGCCGGCCGTCAGGACAGTGGATCTCCGGTGCCAGCAGGCCCGGAGTAGCCATACCTCAGTCCCTGGTCACCTCAACCACAGTTACCCTTCCGGGCCGGCGAAACGCAAACGCGCACACCTCCCTCGACCTCCGCCCGCGCCTTACTGTCTCTGCGCGCGCAGTTTCCCCTACCCACTGAGTGACGCAACATCCGGAGAATCGCCAAACGCTAGGGTCATCCAATCATGAGCAGATCTCCGACGGAAGGGCTGGCGCGGTAGGGAGGAGGGGTTCCGGGCTGGAGGGGCGGGGCCAGTAGTGAACTGCCGGAAGCGTCGTTGTCAGCGTCCATTTTGAGTATGGGCAGCGAAGGCACTTCAGCCGTGTTAGCTATGGGTAGTGGAGCTAGTTTTTGTTTTTGTTTCAACAATTTCACTAGCGGCCGTTACAAAAATCACGTAAAAATTGAAAAAGAATATTTAATTTGTGAGAGCTAAAAATTATTCCGTCGCCCCTTTCTTTTCCTCATGTTGCTTTTTTTTTCCTTCTCAAGAATGTTTTGCGAGATGAATAGTGTGCCAAACGTGGTAGTTTCAGAGTGGAGTCAATCAGTTCTGACGCCTAAGGTTGGCTCATGAAATCTAGGAAAGGGTCTAAATCACACAAGGTCACTCGCTAGATTTTAGCAGGTTTTCCCCCCATTGCTGTGATCTCCCACGACACATTTCCAGGCTTCAGTTTATACATGTGTAACATGCATGATACAACAGCCTCCGCCTCTTACCTTGAAGACCGTGAAAATGTTTTCATTACACATAATTTGTAAAGTGGAAAGCCATTTCTCGGCTACACGACAGAGGTTTTGTTTTGTTTTTCTTTCACTCTCTTTTATCCATTACACAAATATTTGCTGAGTCTCACTTTGTACCAAGCACTGAACTAGGGATGTATACAAATGAATAAAACACAACCAATACTGTTGTTTGGACAAAACAAAGTCCTTGCCCTTACGGTATTGACTTTATGGTGGAGACAAAAATAGACAAAATGTTTGGTGGTGATAAGTACTACGGAGAAAAATAAAGCTGCATAAAGCCTTAGAAGGGTGCTATTTTAGATAAGATGATTAACAACATGTAAAATTCATGAGCCTTATCTCCTCAGCTATTGTTAATTGTGATTTATGATAATCCTCTAACCATGTAAATCTTGACAAACATAAAGGTTTACATTTTATGTGGGTAATAAAACAGTTTGGCAGCACGCAATTTTTATTTCTTTACTCTGAAAATGGCAGGAAAACACTGTAGAGAAATCTGTCACTTAAAATAGTGAACAGGTCAAGCAAGATCAATTTAATCTTTAGATCTTCCCCCAATTTGATTAGCTAGCAAATGGATTCTTTGTTTAGCTACCTTAGTGTTTTTTTTTCTCCCTACAGCTTCTGTTATCCGCAAAGAGAAGAGATTCACAACACAGTACCTGAATAAACAATATGCTTTTTTAAGTGATTTGTAAGATTTTTTTTTCAAGGTTTTATTTATTTGAGAGAGAGGGAGAGAGAGCCAGCACAAGCAGGTGGAGGGGCAGAGGGAGAGGGAGAAGCAGGCTCCCTGCTGAGCAGGGAACCTGACCTGCTCTATCCCAGGACCCCGGATTAAGAATTGAGCTGAAGGCAGATGCTTAACTGAGTGAGCCACCCAGGCGATTTATAAGATTCTTATTAATTAAAGCTTATTCTCTTTATAAAGGAAAATAAATTTCTGATTGCATATTTTCTTAAGTATGGGGTTTGTATTCCACAGATGTCAAATATTTTGAAAAAGGAGTGTTACCTGGTCACATCATTGGGAAGATATACTCAATGTGGGGTGGGGAGAGATTTCATTGACTGGAAACTAATTAGGAATTTACTGCAATGGTTCAAGCAAAAGGTGTTGAAGGCTAGAGTTAAGAGAGTAGAGGGACAGAGAGGGGGTTTATGACAGAGATATATGACCAAGGAGGAATTACAGGATTTATTGACTGATTGAATATAGCTGGTAAGGATGAGGGAGGCACCCAGGATAATCCATGTGTTCTGAACTGAGTGAAATTGGGTGGATAATTACACCATTAATTTAAAGCTCGGATACAGAAAGAAATACAGATGTAGGGGAAGTGGGTAAGTAAAAATATTGAGACAGGAAACTGAAGGACTCCATGAAAATCTGTTTTTGCTTCTTTTCTTGCTAGGACCTGCACCCCCACCCCACTTTACACATGCCTCATAATATCCTCCTTGTGAGGGACAAGGAGTTAATGATTTCTTTAGAATAGATAACATCTAAGGAAGGACAAGGTGAGAATAGCTGGGCAAAGCTATCATATGGATATTCCAGACCACCAGCGCTAGACATCTAGATGCCAAGGCCCCCTGGCTCCAAGGAATAACACCTGCGCCCTCACCTTTGTTCTAACCAGTTCCTGAGGGGACACGTATACCAGACCACCCTCCTCAATAAAAACCCCCAGACCCTGAACAAAGACAAGACTCATGATCCTTTCCTTTCTGAGTCTCCCAGACACTCCCTCTGTATCTGCTTTCTCTATATCTTCCATAAACTCTCTCTCACTTCCTGCTGGCTCACATTTGATTTCCATCCTAAGAGAAGCCAAGGACGCTCTTGGCTGGTCCTGCAGGCCCCTTCTAGATCCCTGGACCCTGCCTGCCAGTATCAGTATGAAGTGTTAAATTGTAAGTTCTCTGCTTCTAAGGCTTTGGAACATAGGACAGAAAACAGAAAAAGACATGAATCATGCATCCTAATGCTGTATATCCACCACTGTTTTTATTGAAGGCTGCTAACTGGCTCCTTATCCTCCACCTGCTGGCTAAGTGGAAAGTACTGGGTTATAGATGAGAAAAATCAGAAGCAAGGACTGAAGAAAAAATATGTATTTCTTTTTAGTTAAAATAAATGCCCCCACACTGCCCCACTAAACTTTTCCATCAGGAGATGTGGGGTGGGTGAAAGAGAGTTGAAAGGGGAGTTTGTGAAGGTTTTAACACTGCCCTCCCCGGTGTGCTCACTGTATCTCCCAACAAAGGGAAGGTGCTTCTCCCTGAAAGGTTGGTAATGTTTGTGAACATGGGGGGCCAACTGGTAGCTTGTTAAGTGGCAGAAAACAAAGCAGGTGGGAAGGAATCAAGATCTTCCCCTCCTGTTTTTCCTTGGATTTAAAATTTGCCGTGTCAGATTCCTAGAATCCCTGAGACCTGGATAAACCCAAGAATGTACCTGTGAGTGTGGGCTAGCTTGTTTGCACCCTTTAAGACACTGCTCAGTAGGGAGGCAGTCACTTTCCAGAAATATGTTCAGATGGGCACCAGCAGACTATGGTTGTGCTACACAACAGAGCCAGCATCTCTCTGAGTAAGAGATCAAACTGTGCCAACCTCAACCAAAGAAAAATGAAGCCTTAGCTAAGAAGGAACTGCTCCCTCTGGGTTCTGCTGAAAGCATTACCTGGGAGCTTGTACATTGACCAGAAAGTAGAGTGGAGAAATAGAAAGCAGTCCACACCTGTTTCCTCTTGTTTAATGTAATGTTTCTCAGCCATAAGGGGTCCAGGAGAGGAGAAAGGCCTTTGAACTAGAAGGCGACTGATAGTGAGATGTCCTAAATCTGACTGATA